CGTGAAAAATTAAAAAAAAATCCTGATCCAGAATACTACAATGAAAAATTAGGCGAATGAAGAAGATAACGAGAAAGACATTTAAAAACAGAAAACGCAGTAGCAAGAATGTGAATATTTTTCGAAATAATGCAATGCCCATAAATAGCTCCAAAAGCAAATCTATCACTTTTGGCAGGGGTCTTAATGACAGAGAAACAAATTACCATTTAAATGATGACATTACCCAGAGAGTTTCCTCATGCAAGTATCTAGGAATCCATTTCCATAGTAAATTAAACTGGAACACGTAGATTTTGTTGTAGGGAAAGCCTGGAAATCTCTTCACTTTGTAATGCGCATCTTAAAAAAGTGTACAGCAAACGCGAAAGATATTGCTTATTTATCGCTTGTTCGCCCGATAATGGAATAATGGAACAATTTTTTGGGACCCGCACAAAAATATGCAGAGTAAAATTTCGGAAAGGATTGAGCGTGGGGCAGATAAATTTACTTTCAGGGACAAGAAAATGGTAAAATGGGATTCACTCGAAAATAGGCGATCAGTAGGCAAGGCTCTGCGTTTGTATAAAGCTTATAGCGGTCATACAGCTTGGAAAGAAATTAATCGGCGGCTAAGTATTCCTACATACATCAGTAGATCACAGGCACAAAATAAATTTAAGACCGCAGAGGACGGATGTTTGAAATAAAAACCATTAGTTCTAAAAATTAAACTTTATAACTTTTCAAGCAGTTCAACTTTAAAACACAAATATCTGAGCCCTGTCCCTGATAATTTTGCCACCTACTGTAAGTTCTCGCTTATGCACGGACAACGCTTTTAACAGACAAAAATATTTCCCTGTTAAACCTAATCTGAACGTAGAAAATTCACGTTTTTTATCACATTTAAATAAACAGGATTACAATATCAAGATACTTTAGATTCATTTTATACTCTCAAATAAGAATTTGAAATCGGATTGATATATTATTTCACTTTAATTGATCATTTCTTTGCCTTAAAGAGAAAATGGAATTTAATATAGCTAAATTTGTGAAAATAACTGTAAGTGACTTCTCCCAAACACCAGGTATGCAGTGACGTACCGCCCCCTGGAGGAATTTGCGCAACCCTTATTTTTAAATATCGCGCCAATTTGTCTGGACGCAGTAAACTTGTTGCCTTGTCCGAGACCTTGATACAGATGGTTGGGTACAAGTCGGCAACACTGCAAATGTTCCCAACTGTGCACCTGTGACTGTACAAACGACACACTACTTCCAGTCGCAACTCAAAACAAATTTTTGTTTTAATTATCAAACAGATTTTCTTCTTCTTCCCGATCCTCACAAACCTTCTCTCTCATCGACAAATGACAAATACATGCAAAAACCAACGCTGTACATTCTAGCCCACTTGAAAAAGCCATTCCTACTTAGCCTAAAAACAGGTACTTATTTTAGCTGATAGCCATAGCCACCATCTTTTCTCCATTCTCTTTCGGGAGTTTCCCTCGATCTACTCCATCTCATCTATTTTTAAACCTAATGGGAGGTTTGCAGAGTTGGACGCCCACACGAAGACTTTTACCAATCGGGACACAGACTTTATCATAGGTGGGCAGAATGATATTGATTTGGGCTGTCACTTTATACCTGAATAACACGCGAACAAATTGCAATGTTCCGTCCAAAACACTAAAATAGCAGTCTCGACTCTGCCCTTCTGGTTCAACAGACCAACACTGTGGAATGAGATTAAGAACGCAAACCAACAAGTAAGACTGCATCTGAGAGAAACAAATATTCACCTTTTTGAAATTAATTTCCTCTAAGTATAACACTTCACCCGGCATGGTCTCCACTTGAACCTTACGGGAAAAAATGCACTCGGTAAAGGGCTTGCACAACACATTATCAACTCGATTCCTACGATTCCTGCAAAAGATCCATTCCCGTTCATCTCCCTTACGTTCTCGATCTCCCACTCTTATTTTGTAACCTTTATCTATCAAAGGTTGACACGAATATCCTAAATACATTCAAATCGCGATGGCAGAACCCACTCCTAGAAAAGGAGGTGAAATCCGTGTGGCACCATCTCCAATAAGGTACAAGAGTTTAATCGACAACACTGCACTCTATGGCCAGAATTGGGTACTTCTTGAGAGTTGAAACAGCAGGCTCAGGAGCACGGTACTCAATCTACTATTTGGACATCCGATATAGATATTAACCTCCTTAATATCACGTATTCAGCTAATTTTGTGCCTATTTGAAAATAACAGAATTATTGGTGTTGAGAAGAATCAGTTGGCAATTATAAAAAAACAAAAATGTTTGTTTATAGTATTCATAAACTATATTTTAAAAACAATTTCACATAATATGATAGGGCAATACAACAGGTATAGAAGAATAATCTGGTATTGCAGACATTACATCATTACATTACAATGAAGTGCACACACATTACATTATTGAAACAACTCTTGACATTCACATGAATCCATGTTAATGCAAATATGATTTATCTCCAACTTTTCAAGTTACAACACAAAACATACACACATTTTATGTGGTACAATTGGCATAAATGATTTTATAGTACTCGCGCAACTTTTCCAACTTTCTCAGAAGTTCGAGGTATCTCCTGTGATGGATCTTCACTTGCATCGGTCATCTCTTAAGATTTTTTGGAGAAAATCACGGACAGAAGTTCTCGGCTTCAAGAGAAAATAGTTTCTACTTCACGCCAGTGAAGACATGTTTGGAATGTAGTGATCAGTGATCGCTGCGAACCTTTGCCTTCAATTGTTTAGGTGCCAAAGAGGGGGAAGCAAGGCCATCGTTCAAGAAAAGTTGCGCGAGTAATATCAACATCAAGGATTGCACGTTGGATCAGATGTACTTTGTCATTAGAAACATTTTTGTCATTACTTTAAAACTACTTATACACCAAATAATCAGAGAAAAAGTAGATTGTCTCAAAATGCAAATATTTAATACTTCTTTTATCCGATCTCAGTGCCTGCCGTTTTCACACATCTCAATCAACTGAATTGTGGAATCAAACAGCATTCATCAAAATTTATTTGTAAGGGAAATGCAATCTATTAGCATATATGAACTTTGTGACAATCCACGTCGAATAGTTTAGAAAATGATCATTTAATCAGACCTAACATTTATCTAAGTACCAAAAAAATACATTTGGAATTTGTACGAATATTATAGCACTAACATATTTTTTAACATTTTATTAAGCCTGATAAGAAGTGGTTTTAAATTTGTAATTATTGAATTACGTAAGCCAACAAAGCTCATTATTTTGCCACCACCAATAAAAATTATTACACATTTCCATGAATTCCTTCCACAAGTTTGTAGATAGGGGAAGAGATTATAATATATTCATCCACACACACACACACACACAGCAACATGTCTTTGGACCTTACGATTCTTTATCCTCGTCTTGATCTGCAGTTTAGTTTGGAAAAGATGAATATCGTAAATACGAATATAGTTTATTTGTTTAAAACGCATGTTATTTTTTTAATCACATATTCATTAAGATAATACAATTGGAGAGGTAATAAACAGGCATGATTTGTAGGCTTATATTAAGTAAGAATTACAAATGGAGTATACATTTGTTTGTGGAAAGTTAGTGACAATTTTTGTACAAAAGTAACTTTTATTAAGCTTAGAATACTACAATCGTTTTGCCTATTTATTTACGAATCAGTGGTACCATGCCTCAAAACTGCCTTACTCGAGTATTTTCACGCACTTCAGTTCTTTTCTTCTCTGATTTCTCCTGCTGACCGGATTCTAAACTCCAGGTTGCAGAACCGGAGACACTTCGGCACCTGTAATGAAAACATATTTGAAAAATCTAATGCAGAAACAATACACCTAAAATTTTCACGCCTTGTATATTACGGATAGTACACTGCGCATTATTTTATAAAACAATGGCTTTTAAAGCTCTTAAGTTGGCTAAAACGTACAAAATAACACCATACTAGATGGAAATTAATCAGGTAACGATCTAAACCCAACACACTCGAATAGCAATAAACTAACTTGTAATTTCAATTGCGTCTTATGGCTGGAAAACGCAATTTTTTAATGAATTTGTTAAAACCTTCAAATGCAACAGAAAGCTATTTATTTCCCACTCGCCTACTGTAACTCGTTATCATAACTCCAAATATTTCACTCATCTTCCCGGTCTAGGGGGAAACGTGACGAAACTTTTTCTTTATTCTGGCGAACAGTGCTGGCGAATCCTGGATCTCTACATTACGCCATCGTGATCTGCAACACTTGAGAACAAAGCCACCACCAAACATCGCTCGAAATGTCACAAACAAACACGTTGCCACATGTTGCCATGTGCATCACGGCCTCCACCAGTAAGAAATGAAATTTGAGGATGAAATGAACGGTAGAAGTTTCGTAAGCTCGCAGTGCTTCCTGACGAGCAAATTTTCGAAGTAGTGCTTGAAATTACGCATGAACCTGAAAATAGATGCCGCCACATGAAAACGACGCTAGCGAATCCTCTAGCCCATACTCTCAAACAACGAGAGTTTTTGCCCCTATAGTATATTCCGCCATGCCATGGAAACCTCGATTTGTATCAAAACTCTTAGAGAGTTGAAGTGCAGCGTCTGTGCCGACTACGCGGCAGGGAATCAGAAGAGAGAGGTAAAGAGAGCGAGGCAGGCGGCCATCTTTGTCGGATCGTGATCTAGTTGAAGGCTAATATTGGATCATACCTGCAATTTTGAAGTACAAATTGGACACAGCTCATGAATAGAGGTATGTAATTAATCAATTATGAGAGGAGAATATGAAAGGAAAGAATAAATACGTTATATTTGTTCTTATGAATGTTAATAGACGTCACAAGTAATGAAACTATTTCGTATAAGCTTTTTCCATAAGTTGAATACATTTGACGTATTATTTTACTTTTGTAATTTGATATTTTTAATCTATAGTACTTGGTGGATTTGGTAAATTCGTGTCGCCGTACACAGAGCGAATAACTGGAAAAACGCTACCTGAGAACGGACAGCTCGTGGTGCAGCGTACAGAACGAGGCATGGTGGACAGCAGGACTCGATGATATGGGACCCCGGTGGAAAACTCCCTACGACATCCGAGAAGACCCAGGTAGAATCAACGTTCTGTGGCGGTACTATAACGCCCTATGAAAGAAATTATGTCTGTACTTGGTTTTGGACAGTAGGGATCCGCAATTAATTAATTAATTGGGTGATAGGTATTCCACGTGCGCGTGAGGGACTCTGCTGTTGAATCGTTTTAGTTATTTTGCTTCCGAGTCCGCTTCGGAACCGCTAAAGGGGATATAGACAGACGAGTAAAATTCCGCGAGGAGGGAATATGGTAAAGGTCAGAGTGAGCGCTGTGCTAACATAAGGGTAATTTGAGGTAGCTTAGAGAAAAATAAGCTAGTCACATAATTAGGTGGAATTGTAGAAAGAAAGAGAGAGGTATGTAAAAAGTAACTTGTTTGTAATGTAAACAGATTATATATTTGAGTTTTAACTCAATTCTCTTGGTACAGGACACAAACAATGTTAAGATAGAATATTTTTGTATGTATAGGCACAGTAGTATAACCAGCATAGATTAGGAGGATTGTAAATTAGTGTAATTGGTATATTAATTGTTTTGTAAGGATAAATGCCATGCCTTTAAAACTGACACCTGTGAAAGATTGTATTATTTTGTTCTTTTGAATAAAAGAACTATCTGAATAGATAGTGAATCTCAATAGAGGGAAATTTCACTGAGATTATGTTATGGCCATAGTAGTTAAGTTGTTGACAGAAATACTTTTGACTTTGTTAATATTTAAGTGTATTGGTGCAGATTATGAAATTGTATGTGCATTTGTTATTTTGTCACTTTTATAGAGACCCAATCTTTGTTTCTCTATTGACTTTGTTATTGCACAAAGGGCATTTTTTTTGTTTTGTTTAAGAACATATTTATTTTGTTTGAAATTTTCTGGATGTACATAATTCCTTTTTCAAAGACAAAAAAGGAAATTCGCGATCCTGTATATATCAATTCTTTTTTTTATTTCGACTGTTGATTAAGAACAGATTAAGACTTGTGAACTAACATTTCACAAGAAAGGTAAATGGTTAGAAAGGTTTCAATTTAGAACCCTCTTACTCCCTACTTTGAACATATTCCCGGTTCTCCCATTCTCGCTACCAATTCATCTATACCAGATGCCACAATTTGCTGACATATCGCTGCTGGGGCACATTACCTTGAGCCACACACTCGAGATCAAATAGTAAATATGTAACAATGCAGTCAGTTGCAACAGAAAAACATCCCAGTAGGTACTTGCAAAAGATAAGCATATTGTACCATAATGTTCAATCCCTTTCAAATAAAACTTGAGTTTATCGAAGCAGGTCTACAGTGAAATTGAAATCAAATATGTTCTTGTCTTAACAGGACATTGGTAATTTGGTAATAAACTTAGCATCTTACAAATTCCGTACTTTTACCTCTCAGGCTATTTGTGTAGAGAAAAGGAATCGCATGAAGGTCTGCTTATGAGGATTCTTGAATATTCATTCGAAATATCGATTCTATCCCATTGACAAAATTAAATGTGTATTCCGTTAGTTTTTGAAATATCTGTATTACACCTTCCAACCCTAAAAATATTTGCATCTACGGTTTCCAACTAGCTGTAGGTATTTTCTTAGAGAAACTGGAGATAACACTAAACAAAGCTAATAAACGCTCTTTTAAATCAAATGTATGCTAAGATTTTGACAAATATTTTCTGGTCGAATCTTGCAAGAAAGAAGTTTCTCAATTTAATTACTTCAGTTTAGATATTACAATAAATGTACCAACACGGGCCACACTAAATTTAAAGAAGGCAATCGATCAAATAATGTATAAAACCGCTACTTGAAATGAAATTGCAACAAAAGATTTAGGATACTGTGATCACGATGCACAAATTCTTATCATTACAAGAAATGCGGTCACGAATAATAGAATTATGAGTAAATTGGTTTCTAATACTATACTAAAATTATTCAATGATTAGTTGCAGGAGTCATGGGACGCGGATTACAATATAGTTGATACAAACGATATAGTGAAGTCGTTGGCTTTCGCGGCCAAAGTCGAGATTTTGGCTGTCAGAGTGACACCGCGTTGAAGGCTGGGTTACCGACGTTTCGAACATTTCGTAGTTGCAGACCAGCCCTGAAAAGACCACAATATGGTCGAAACGTCGGCAACCCAGCCATCCACGCGGCATCATCCGGACAACCAAGACCTCTAAACGATAAATATAATTATTTTCCGACGCTTTCATTTCGTTTTAATTCGTGCCCTCCTCTTTTAAAAATTTGAAAATTTCACGGAAAAGCAATTCTTGGATAACACAAGGCATTAGGACATGTAAAAACAAACGACTTTGTTTTTCATTTCTAAGCATCATAGCTTATCTCACGATTTCCATCTCTACTTTAAAAAAGCAAACCATAGTTAAGAAAAGTCATAAGGCAGGCTAAAATGAAGTAACACGGTCTGGATATTTTATCACAAATAACAAAACAAGCAATGTAGAATATACTAAAAATACGACTACATCAACTAGAAACCTTGTAGAGAATGTTGTTTCAAAAGATAACGATAGAAATGTGAACGATCCACCAACAGTGGCCAACAACAACTTTAACCAATATTTTTCGAGAAAGATTGATCTCGCTAAACGTTTTCATCCACAATATCCCCAAAAAAATTAGACACGATATTCGTTATTGAAACTTCTTCCAACGAAATTTTCAAAAGAATTGTTGAATTAAAAAAATAAATCATATGCTTACAAGGAAAACCCGCTAAGCCAATTTTTAAGCTAAAATTACTTTTTGTCATTTTTTAGAGAAGGTTAGTGTTAATGTCGCTTAGTGATTTTTCTATCTTCACAAATGCCTGCTCCTTTCCGCCATTGCCAACTATTCCATCCTCACGACAGCCTAACCACCCATCCCAGATATCAGCCCAAAGAAGGGCCACGCTTAGTCTGCTCTAAAAAACCCAAGAACACAGTAAACAGAGCAAGACTAAAACACCATCAGAAAACCCTCCCTCTCATTCAAATAAAGTACTTATATTAGCAGATAGCCATGTAGGAACCTTTCCTCCGCCATGTGAGTGAAAGTCCCTGCTAAGTTTTCTGTGTTTTCTGGTGTTTTCAAACCAAGTGCAAGGATGGCACAAGTAATTGAAAACTTACACTGACTAGCTCCTTCGGACCACGTGACACTATTAATTATAAAGCCATAAATTATAGCAGTAAATTTAATACAGAAGAACATCTACCAACAATTCTAGAGACTGCCACTCACACTAATGTCATAATGACCAGTCTGCCCTCTTGGCACAACATTACCACAAACAATGATATTTAAATGGCAAAAAAAAGTTAAAAATCACCTGAGAGACACCAATTGCCCTACTTGATCTTGACGGTCTCAAGAAACTTATTTACAAAACATGGAAGATCCGATTTCATTGCTTATTACAAAACATATAAAAGAATCTTGAAAAAAGTTTAAAAAAACAGGACAAATTGTTAATGAGTGGCTAACGCATTGACAAAGCACAAAACAAAACAATGTGGAACATTGTGAAAAATATTCTAAAACACTGCTAACGTTGAACTTCACTACAAAAATAATGTTCTGCGAAACCCAAAAGCAGTAGCAAACACATTCAATAGACATTTCACAGAAATGGGAGAAAAATTAGTCCACTGCAACTCCATAAATATAAATACGCAGTCAGATATCCACACATCAACAAATATTATAAACACACCAAATTCCATATTGTAACCAACCGGCCCCCGGGTGGCTGCCTCGAGTCACCTGATTACCTAGTTACCCGATCCAGTGTTCCCCGGCTGCTCAGTCTGTAGGCTCTTATCACGCAGGTATCCTAATACCTGCGTGATATGGCTTTTTCTCATGCTCATAATGCATTAGAACACGGCTTCAGTTTTTAAGTGGAATTAATATCCATTCCATTCGAGGTGAAGCCTCTCGGTATAAACAGGTCTTTTCAAAACTAACTTATCTTACGTATGGCCATTCACGCCAGAGTTGGCCCTTTCAGGGAGGACGGCACCCTCCCCGGTCCATGACCCCGTGACGCAAGCAGCGGTCCCTTCCCCTGGCCAACCGGTGCCGCGCGGCCCTAGCCTCCCGCAGCGTGGCCTCGGGTGGGTTGCCTGTTCTTCGCCCCTTCGCGAGGCGGTCAGGGCAGCAGGTGGCGTCCCGGGCGCTAGCTACGCCGGATCCGTCGGGCAGGCGGTGTGGCTCGCGGCAGCAGTGGTTGCGCCTCGGCCCGTCGTGAGTCCTGGGCTGGAGTTCGGGCGCTCACACAGTCATTGCCCGAGCGCCACCGGAGCGGTCCGCGATGTTGCGGCGATGCGTTCGGGCGGCGGCGGCGCGGGTCGGTGTGGCGTCTCGCGGTGCGCGGCCATGCGCTTTAGCAGCGCGCGGCCATGCGGCAACGCGTTCAGCGGCGTCCCCCAGAGACAAAAGACGTTTTCCTGGCTCTGGCTTCTCCCATTGAATGTACTATTCACATTCACCTCCTACATCAGAATAAACGGCTCGCTCTCGCCTACCTCATCAAAATGACCGAGCTGGAGAGCTCCGGCGACCTTCCTTGTTTTGCGTGGTCACATGGCCCTCCCCCGCTTCGTTTTCGGCGATTGGCAGACGCATCACGCGGTTTCCTCTACCCAATCACGGAGTCATCGGGCCTCGCAATGTTCGGTTGAAATTTCAACGTCACCCGTGTTCTTGGAAATGGCAGCGATGAATTGCCGTGCTGGGAGCGTCGCCGTGTATTTCCCAGTGAGTCAGTGGCGTCGCCTGAGGCGCGTCCCTGTCGCAAACAATAGAGCTTCTTGCCTGGGCGGTCCCCGGCGCTTTCTACACCCGCGCAGGAAGATAAATGGCCCCTTCTCCTGGCTCCCTTGTTTTGGTGCGTAACATACTGCAACAAACATAATAGAACCGCTCACTCACGTTTCTAACCACTCCTTAATGACAAGTATCTTCCCAGGAAATCTCAGAAAAGCAAAAGTTAAGCCACTTTTCCAAAAATGGCAACGATCTCGTGAATTACAAACCGATATCTTTACTACCTGAATTCTCAAAAATTCTAGAAAAGCTTTTTAATGATAGACTCAAAACTTTTCTCAATTCAAATAACATATTGACAGAGTCCCAACATGGATTCAGAAATAGTAGATCTACAGACACTGCTATCTTTCCCTTTCTAAATAACATACTTGATGCTCTATATCAGAAAGCATTGTATGATAGACAAAGGGCACCTCCTTGCGAGCGCGCCAGAAAGTACCGCAACGGCATGACTGCAGGCCGCTCCACAGACAGACGTCGAACACGCGTTGACGAACGTACGACGCTCGTCTCTTACTCAAGCTGTGTATTCAAAAGTTGGTTAAATAAATGCCATTCCGATCGAGTATCATTTGTAGTTATTCGTACAACATGGCAGTGGTAAAAGTGTGAATTTACCAGTAGAAGCAACTAGAACGCGAAAATGGCACAAGACGGGGCAGACGATCTCCTGCACACCGTCTACCGACGGTCAAGCACAGCGATCGCCGGTGGCGCCGCCTGCGCGTGGGCGATCTCGTGCGTGTGAGTAAACACAAGACGCTTTTCGCGAAAGGCTACACGCCACCCTGGAGTACTGAAATCTTTACGATCGATTGTGTCCATATCTCTGCCCCTGTTTCCTACACCCTCATTGACGCCCCGGTTCTTTGTCGAAGAATTACAACGGACGCGCTTGACTAACCACTATTTGGTAGAGCGCGTCGTGCGCTAGAAGGGTTTCTTACGCTTGGCTCCGTACACGCACCGTACTTTACACCGTTACACGTCCACTACCACGCTGCGCTGCACACGGTTCGGTATGTCCCACGCCACTCGTGTGGAACCTGCAGGTCTCTGCTCGTCGACGTGCAGGGTGTCCACACGGGG